AGGTTTCATTTCTATGAGGTTTATATTATGAAGAAATAGTGATATATTACCTAACTTTTATTTATTATAATGTTAACATATACCACTTGCATAGAATATTACTAAAAAATATTACGACTATTTAGAAAAATAAATATAGGCAATAAAAAATCTGGGTATGTCATACCCTGCCACATCGCCCGTGTTACATTTTCTCGCCACAACCTGCGCGGGTTAAGCCGAGGTCAAAAACTCTACGTCGCCTTTTTCGCAACACCCTTGGACTAGGGGTGGCAGTATTCTTAGCCGCTACCACACGGCTAGCACCTACACTTATAATATTAGATTTCATAGTAAGTACTCTAACATCCATATTAAAGCTGTATAGCTGTACTGTACCGTTGCTAAGTACCCTCAGGTTGATTTGATAGTGCGCTATAGCGCGGGCAATCGCGTCGTTAAAACTAACTGGCCACTGGCCGAGAGTGTAGCTGTACCTATAGCAGAAATCGGGTTAGTATGTGCGAGTTTGGTTTACAGTAACTAATTTGTACTAGAGGTATCTTATGCCAGCATATGTCTCGATGGAAGGATGGAGGCAAAAGAAAAGGCGTTAAAACTAACTGGCTCACTGGCTGACAGAACAGTATAGTTGTATGGCAGAAATCCGGTTAGTGTAGTGTGAGCTTGGTTTACAGCAACTAATCTGTATTAGATGTATCTTATGTCTAGCTAGCATAAATGTCTCCATGGAAGGATGGAGGCAAAAGAAAAGGCGTTAAAACTAACTGGCTCACTGAACAGTATAGTTGTATGGCAGAAATCTGGTTAGTGTAGTGTGAGCTTGGTTTACAGCAACTAATCTGTATTAGATGTATCTTATGTCTAGCTAGCATAAATGTCTCCATGGAAGGATGGAGGCAAAAGAAAAGGCGTTAAAACTAACTGGCTCACTGAACAGTATAGTTGTATGGCAGAAATCTGGTTAGTGTAGTGTGAGCTTGGTTTACAGCAACTAATCTGTATTAGATGTATCTTTTTTTTTTTTAAGAAAGGAAAATATTTATTCATAAGTCAAAATACAATATTAATACAGATGTATCTTATGTCTAGCTAGCATAAATGTCTCCATGGAAGGATGGAGGCAAGAGAAAAGGCGTTAAAACTAACTGGCTCACTGGCTGACAGAACAGTATAGTTGTATGGCAGAAATCTGGTTAGTGTAGTGTGAGCTTGGTTTACAGCAACTAATCTGTATTAGATGTATCTTATGTCTAGCTAGCATAAATGTCTCCATGGAAGGATGGAGGCAAGAGAAAAGGCGTTAAAACTAACTGGCTCACTGGCTGACAGAACAGTATAGTTGTATGGTAGAAATCTGGTTAGTGTAGTGTGAGCTTGGTTTACAGCAACTAATCTGTATTAGATGTATCTTATGTCTAGCTAGCATAAATGTCTCCATGGAAGGATGGAGGCAAGAGAAAAGGCGTTAAAACTAACTGGCTCACTGGCTGACAGAACAGTATAGTTGTATGGTAGAAATCTGGTTAGTGTAGTGTGAGCTTGGTTTACAGCAACTAATCTGTATTAGATGTATCTTATGTCTAGCTAGCATAAATGTCTCCATGGAAGGATGGAGGCAAGAGAAAAGGCGTTAAAACTAACTGGCTCACTGGCTGACAGAACAGTATAGTTGTATGGTAGAAATCTGGTTAGTGTAGTGTGAGCTTGGTTTACAGCAACTAATCTGTATTAGATGTATCTTATGTCTAGCTAGCATAAATGTCTCCATGGAAGGATGGAGGCAAGAGAAAAGGCGTTAAAACTAACTGGCTCACTGGCCGACAGGACAGTATAGCTGTATGGCAGAAATCGGGTTAAGGTAGTGTGTGCGAGCTTAGGTTGAGCTGCCAGCATATTACTGCAGAAAACTTTGGGATTTCTAGTTCCCGTCTAAATGTCAAAACAAAAGGCTTTTACAGGGCTTTACATACAGTCCAGCAAAAAAGAGTAGAAATTAAATAAAATGGAACAAAAAATTTCATACTAAATCGTTGCCATTCATAGTCAATGTTGCCATTTAATTTTGAAATTTCATACATAGTGGCGCCCTCATTTTTTGTCTACTCTTTTTTGCTGGACTGTACAATAGTCTACTCTTCCAGCTTTCATGTGTTTTTATTAAATCTTTTAAAAGTTGTAATTCCGGACTCGATGAACAAGAAGTTGTTCAACTTTTATGACCCGGAACAAAAGTAAGTACAAAAGTAGTGAAAAGTGGGAAACTTTTTAAAAAGTTTCCCACTTTTCACTAGCTGTAAAATCTCCGATCCGAGGGCATAACCTGATTCATAGAAGGATCGGACCCGAAATGGTAACATTATTGGTGACATCCAACTCAATTAATGTCATGTAATATGAAAAAGACGCAAACAATAATTTTGCTATTCCGGGTTCCATTCTTCTACGAATCAGATTATAACCGAAAGCAGGCTAGCCGTCCTCAGGCGACCAATCACGATACGTTCCGTGTTTGAATTCACGGGCCGTTTCAAATGCGTTATGCTGATTGGATAGAATCGATTGGACTAGTTCTACGCTATTGAACCCTCAGAGCAAGGTGTTTATGAGGAATCCCTATAATACATCCCCATCACTATAACACGGTAGTGTTATTATTTATTCTTATGACTATAACTTGGTCATTTTCAAGGCAAGGGTGAATAGGCACTACCTAGGCAAGTATGCTCAAACGTCGTCTGCATCATCATTTATTAACAGGTCAAATAGCAGACAAATGCGGGCCAATCTTATAAAAAAAGAAGCCATTAAAAATCGCAGCAACCTAATTATGCGTGCGCTAAGTCGTTTGATGGCTAAGAATACCCTTACCTACCCCAATTCTACCTGTAGATGTCCTATCATAAGGGACAAATTCATCCAGGAAACAGGCAGCAGAGTTTCCTGTAAATGCAACATCTTGTACTGCGTTCGCCAATCCCCTTGCCAAACACGGTAATGGTGACTATTGCTGCAATAGGAGCCTATATCTAACTGCGGACTGTCTTTGTGGATGAGTTGGCTTCATTGAGGCCATCGTGGAGTTCCCTCTGAAACCCACCATTGTCTCACTGGAGCTGTATTTGATTTGACCAGATCATCGGCTTTGTTTGCCAATTTAATTCATAACTGAGCCGATTAAGCACTATTGGGTACGATCAATTGGAATGCAAACAGCCTGGCTACGCGTTTGCGTACAAAGGGATGTGATAGTCTTTAGATGATTTAGATAATAGGTTAATATAATATTTAGGTATATTATGTAGCCACAGTAATAGCCGTGTGGCTAAGAATACTGCCACCCCTAGTCCACTCAGGTGTTTCGTAAAAGGTGACGTAGAGTTTTTGACCTCGGCTGAATATCTATAGACTGTGGCGGTGATACCACCTATCTACAATAGCATTTTTTAAGAGGGTTGACGTTGGGCAGGCGGCCGGTCATAGAACATTGCCAAATCCTTTTGCAACATGATTTTGTGCTCTCACAAAACATGTTGTGCCGACCCCAAATTATTTGGTAGAAGATGATGAATAGAGACAAAGCATTTTTCCTTTCGCTTGTGGGATAGTTTTGGTGAGTGTTGCTTTTAAGGCTATTTTTTTTTCAATGTATTTTCAGTAATGCGAGTTTGATGGCATTGGATAGCAAAGACACTGTATGACATTCGGCTGCCATCACATCGCATGAGGACTAAACATATTACGATTTTTAATATTCATAGTTTTCTACTATTTGCTTTGATGATCGGCAAGTTTGTATGGGAGGTCCAAAATTTTTTTTTCGTATTTTGACCTATGTTCCTTGGGGAAAGTTGTTCCTTATCACTAGCCGGTTCTGAGTTTTGACTATCGGTCGCTAGTAAAATTTCATCCTATATAGTACGCCCCACCCAAGTAATTCTGAAACCAGTAACTAATGCGTTTCACTTTCATCTCGTGTTATTCGCTACTTTTCGTAAATTGAAAATGAGAATAATATTGCGCTGTGAGTGCATTATAACTTCCAATACATTTTCATAAATTCCTAAAGAATCATGATTTTAAAAATATATCACTTGCTAGAAATTGATCAAAGCAATATTTTAAAATAACCATTCGAAATTCAATTCCCGCGCTCGATATTTGTGACGTCGACGGCGACGGCAAACCGATAGTCCGATATCTGGACGCAATACCGCTCGGGTGTTCTGGCCAGTTGTGGACATGGGATTATGCAAATAGTATTGTTACTTCCCACCCGTACGTAAAAAATCATCAATGATGAATTTTATTTTATTAATTTTATTTGACAGCTGATGTGGCGCACTGGTTAGTACGACTGCCTGCCACGCAGAAGGTTCTGGGTTCATTTCCCGGTGGGGTCACTCACAAAGCTGATAATTATCACTTTGTGAATTTGTTCCCAGTCTGGTTAGCAGGATGAGCCACCTGATTGTCCGAAAAGTAAGATGGTTCCGTGCTTCGGATGGGTGGGCACGTTAAGCCGTCGGTCCCGGTTGCTGTCTTACACAGCATGTCAGAGGCCTGCTACTTGCAGTAGGCGGTTGAAAAACTCTGACACCAGGGTTCATCGGGTCGTTGGACGACTTGGTGTCCAACTCGTAAAAAAAAAAAGATTTTTATTTTTATTTGTTATGAATATCAATTTTCGCGTTCGATATTTGTAGCGTCGTCGGCGACGGCAAACCGATAGTCCGATATCTGGATGCAATACGGCTCGGGTGTTCTGTCCGGTTGTGGACATGGGATTATGCAAATAATATTGTTACTTCCAGTCGTACGTAAAAATACCTCAGATGTGAGGCAAAAATATAAGTGAATATATTTCAGACCACTGTTGTCAATGAGAAAACAGGAGAATAAATTGCACCACTCTCAACTTCTCTACTGTGCCTTTTTTCTGAGATTGGTCGAACATGTGTCAAGTCTATTTACTTTTTTAGGGAAATTTGCAAAATTTTCACCGCTGGCTGGATTTGAACCAGCGCCATCTGTACTGGCGACGCTTCTACCGCCTGGGCTACAGCGGCTCGCTCCAAGCCCGCCGCGAATTAAGCAAGTGTATCTTGACCACTAAGGTAGGGCTTAATTCAGCCTCCGGTGAAATTTTTTCAAGTTTTACTAAATTGTATACCTAACACGGGAAGTGTTTTAAAAATATAGTAGGTATTCTGATTACTTCTTATTTGTGATTCAACCTGTAGATGTCTCCAGTTGTCTTTTCGTTTTAATTCTACAGCCAACCAGGCTATCACTATCCGTTTACCCTACCTACACGTTCGAAACCGCCACATCGAAAATGAAAAGTATAAGCATTTCTGAACGTACCTACTCAATTTCAATCGCATTACGAACGACGGGAAGACGGGAGCGTTCAGAAATTTAAACTCCGCCATTTTATTGCAAGTTCTGAAATTAAAATTGGTGAACGCTTCGCTGGAGGAAATAAATTTCATATTATTGCTGCTTGCTATATTCTACCAATAATGTGAGCTATTCTTTTAATGCCAAAACATTCATGTCATGTTCCGTTATACCGTTTTCGTTCGTTTATTTATTTTATCCATTTTGTTTCAGGTACATACTACAAATCGTGATTTCGTTGAGTAAGTTTGAAACTGCGAAAAGTGAGAATCTGCGAGGCATTGGTGTCATGAGTGTCTTCCAACAACTCGGTATGAGTTTCGTCCTCTACAAACCCAAGCGCGACAATCGCTAAACTTAACGAAGTTTACATCGATAAAGTAGTGCCCAAAAAAACTTGCACATGGTGCTCGTTGATCTCGAAAAGGCATACGATCGAGTGCCCTGAGAGGTTTTGTGGTGGGCATTGAAATAGAAAGGTGTGCCAGGGAAGTATGTAGAGTTGATACGTGCAATGTACAAAAAAAATGTAGGTCTAAATACATCGAAAAGGAAATCAGTGTCCCGCACATCGAGAGATAGAAGAGATATTGCAGATGGCAGTAGGCGCAATTGTGCCTAAATGACGTAACGACAACCAATAAGAAGTAGCTAAACTTTGCTATAGACAGACACATTCCCGACCAAACACAGAAAAAAGAGAGCCGATGTGGCGCAGTGGTTAGTTTAGTACGACTGACTGCGACGCAGATGGTTCCGGGGTCAATTCCCGGTTGGGTCAGTCACAAATTGATATTTATCACGTTGTGAATTGGTTTCGAGTCTGGTTAGGACATTGCAGGCTAAACAACCTGATTGTCCGAATAGTAAGATGGTTCCTTGCTTCGGATGGGCACGTTAAGCCGTCGGTCCCGGTTGCTGTCTATGATTATGTCGTTACACAACCATGTCAGAGGTATGCTTCTTGCAGTAGGCGGTTGAAAAACTCTGACACCAGTGTTCATCGGGTCGTTGGACTACTTGGTGTCCCACTTGAAGAAGAAGACAGAAAAAAGGCACACTCGAGAGTGGCACCATTTGTTATCCAGTTTTCTACCTCATTCTGTTTCATAAAAAAATATAACAATAGGTATATGCAACGGCTTAACAAGGCACCAAATTAATTGGCAATTACCAATAAGCCTGTTAAATAAATGCTCTCAGAAATAAAGTAAAGATCCAATTAAGCAGATCTAGATATAACGAGTAGGTGGATATAGTATAATTCGAAATGTGGAAAAAATATCCAACTCACATACATACCCACTCAATACGCAGGTATAATGAGAATTGACGTGTGGTGTCAGTTTAGGATAGCATCACCCCGTATCTTTCCTGCGGGTGTTGTAAGAAGCGACTAAGGGATTTGAGCATAGGATTTGAGAGTTGATGTGTGTGTATTGCAATTTTAGGCGACAGGCTGACAACCTAACTCTATGGTGATACGCAATCTTCTAAATGATTCTGAACTTTTGTCAGGCATTGTGTAGGTTAATTACCCTTTTTTTACGCCATTTACGCTCTGCCTTACCCTGCAAGGGATATAGGCGTGATAGATGTATGTACAAATAATAAATACGTTTTAGCTTACCGCACGCTTCTCCAATAAAAGCTAAGTTTATATTAGTACTGAAATCTGAAACTCCGAAGTGAGTCGTAAGTTCAAGTTGCAAGCTTGCCACAGACGTCGGTTACATTGGCTGCTTAGGTTTACTGCACTTCATACTTCCGAGTCCTCGTAAAGTTGAGCTAGTATTAGTAAGCTTTACTAAGCAACCAACATTGGTAATATTGCTTGAAGCTATTCGGATAAGTCTAATAATTGCTCTGTGTAGAGAATTATTATAAAACTTGTCGCGCTAAAATTAATCATCTGAAATCTATGAAAAGTAAGATATCAAAATACTCAAAACTCGGGCCATGCGGGACTCCAATCTACGTCTATTATTACTTCCATTAATTCTTGAACTCTGTATAAGGTTACATTTAATTTATTCTTCATTTAATTTAGTCTTCGCCATACAAAACTGAACAACTTTAATAGGAAACTATTCTTCGATTCGAAGTATGAAAAAAGCTCTCATGTGACACACTCTTTCAACGTGTTTGCAGGGAGGTACAATTTTTTTCTCACATTTCAAAGAAAAGTTTCCAATACAAATTGTTCAGTTTTGTGAGTAGGACACGCCATTCAAATATTTGTACTTAATTAAATTTAACCCTATATTCAAAGAGTGATAAATTGATTCTTAGCCGGTTCAAAGAACTGGATCACATGTATATTCACCTTTTAGGTACGAGACGTGGAATAAAAGTCAAGAGTCGTATATATTTCTGGTAGAAAGACAAGCTGCAAAGCTAAACGTATGACCAGAATTGTAGAATGTAATGTGTAGTAATGTAATGATTATGACTATGTACAATTTTAATATGTAATTTCCGACACAAATGTTTTTGTTAATGGAATAAATAAATATGAATAATATGAATATGACCATTGGTCCTATCAACACTCGTGCGCTTTCAACCATTGCGATATCCATTGCTTCTTATATCGAACCGGTATACCCCAGATTCCAGATGTGGCGCAGTGGTAGTGCGGATGTTTGCGACACAAACATTTCGGGTTCGATCCCCGGTGGGGGCAATTACAAAGTTGATATTTATCAATTTTGTTCCAGTCTGGTTAGGACAGGCTGAAAACTGTCCTTGGTTCCGTGCTATGAAGAGCATGTTAAGCCGTCGATCCCGATTGCTGTCTGTGATACACCACTATGTGTGAGGCCTACTAGTAGTAGTATGCGGTTGAAAAGTTCTGACGCTAGGGTTCATCGAGCCGTTCGTCAACTCGGTGTACCACAGATAGAAGAAGCGGCGATGTATTTGTGTCGCACTAGTAAGAATAAAGCTAGTCCGTAGAGGCGTAAATTCCGGTTAGTAGACCACTCACGGAAACTGAAAAATATTGCTGCGACGTAAGCCAGTCGCGGACGTTTTCAATACCGGTATTGAATACCGTATCTTTTTCTTCAATTTTGGGATCCCGATATGTTTTGAGTCATTTTTATGGAGGACGTAAATCGTAAAAAAGTAATGTTTTTTTTCAACTTTTTATATATTAGCAATAAAAATAATGTTCACTGGAGACAGTAGTATGGTGAGTTACGGATGGCTGACGGGCCATACTAGCTGGGTTCAGGTCTCTGGACCGGCAAGTTTCAAATTATGGCTTTCCGGAGGAGTTCAAATTATTGTTAGATACGAACAAAGACACAAGGAGGAAAGGGCGAATGAATAGAAACTTATGATTGTAAATTTTTTATCAAAAACTCATCAAAATCATCAATACCGGAATCCCGGTATTAGATTTTCAATACCGGTATTGAAAAGAGGTCAAAAATGTCCGGGATCCCGGTATTGGCTAATACCGGTGTACCGGTATTGGAAGCCCTAGCTGCGACGTAAGGCGGTCGGGGACGTTTTGGATTCTCCTAGCCAAGTGAAATTTGTACAGCTCAAATGTGATTTGCCAGTTGTATGATTTTCTCGTGGGAATGGAATATTTTTCACGAGACAAGAAGTCACGTCACTTCGTATGGTAAAGTCACAGCGCATGTAAAATAAGGACTAAATAACAAACAACCTCGCTATTTTCATGTAATTCAAGCGTCGATCTACAGTTTTGGATTTATGATTCGTGAAATTTATAGTAGGAATTTAAATGACATTAAATGCTCTTTAGGACAGCCGATGTGGCGCAGTGGTTAGTATGCCTGCCTGCCACGCAAAGGCTCCGGGTTCAATTCCCGGTGGGGTCACTCAGAAAGTTGATATTTATCACTTTGTGAATTTGTTCCCAGTCTGGTTAGGACATTGCAGGCTGAACCACCTGATTGTCCGCAAGCAAGATGGTTCCGTGCTTCGGATGGGCACGTTAAGCCGTCGGTCCCGGTTGCTGTCTATGATGGTGGTCGTTACACAACCATGTCAGAGGCCTGCTACTTGCAGTAGGCGGTTGAAAAACTCTGACACCAGGGTTCATCGGGTCGTTGAACAACTCGGTGTCCCACACGAAAAAAAAAATGGAAAATCCTGTAAAGAAACCTTACCATTTAGGTGCTCAAAATGTTTCCATTTGGCTTGTTAACCTAATTCCTATTCAAACACAAAACACAACCTAAGATTAGTAACCATCTGCTGTCTTGTACTAGCACAAACTAACCTTAGAAATTATATAAGGTGTAAAAAAATCAACTGCAAATATTTTAAGGGGTGAACCAGCCCGTGAAACTGAACAACTTTCCCCAAGGAACATAGGTCGAAATATGAAAAAAAAAAAATTAGACCTCCCATACAAAATGTACCAGCCGGCCGAGTCAATTTGTATGGGAGGTCCAAATTTTTTTTTCATATTTTGACCTATATTCCTTGGGGAAAGTTGTTCAGTTTCATGGGCTGATTCACCCCTTAAAATATTTGCAGTTGATTTTTTTACATCCTGTATAGCAAAGCTGGTTGTAAACCGGACCAGCTTTTCCTTATTCCATCAGACTGAGCAAAGGAACCATTTCAGCACATTAGACTTAGCAATCTTAGCTAAACGAAGTACCGTGTGAACCATTCTTGT